CCTAAATACTCTCCCAAGTCTCAGCTTCACCACTTGCCTCATTGGATCCTATAATCAACAGCATCCTAAACAACACATCCCAAGCAGAAAGGAAGTTTGGGTTCAGACGGTCTTTCTTGCAGCATCTGTCAAGTTTCTTCCCACCCCCTCCTGCATATTGCTAACCCAGAACAATCTTCTTCCCATCTGTGCTTCCTGAAGTTTCTTTCCCTGAAAGATTTGCTTTCACCCACCCTGGAAGGGAAGCAGCATGGCTAAGTGAAGAGCAGAGGAGTCTAAGCCAGAGTTGGGGGTAGTTCCCAACTGCCTCTGCCCAAGGTCACCTGGTGTGCCAAATTGCTTCGTCACTCCGTGCCTCAGTTCCTCCATGCACAAGGGTAATGACACCAGCCTTGCTGTAAACGAGAATACTATGTAAAACTAGGTGCTATCATTCTCCTATCTGACATAAGCCAGGCTCCAAGAGTCAAACTCCACACAAAGAAGTAAAAGTAGTCACCGTCCATGCAGTTTTACATGCTATTCTTCAGAGAAATTATGGATGAGGAACTGGGACATATTCACAACTGTTCAAACTAGTGGTCTCTTTCTGACAAAGCTAGGATAATACTGGCCTGACACCCTGGAGATCTCTGCAGGTTTCTAACACTCATTAATAGCTGTTTCTGGCATAGAAACAGAATACAAGGGGAAGGAGGTGGGAAGCAAAAAAAAAAAAAAAAAAAATCAGCAAGACTAGTGGTAGGCTTTTTTTAAAAGAGCAGATTATCTGTTGTGCCTCAAAGAAGTCAATGAAGAAATCCATCAAATTTGAAAAAGCCTGCCCAGGATTTTGCATGTGGGTTTGTGCCCCTTCCTCCCCCTCCACCCCCCACATCATCTACATGAAATACATCAAGTCCAAGAATTGCCCTGTTCCAAGTAATTTTTCTTGTTGGTTCCTTGTTTTCTTGGGTACAGAATCCAAATTTCTGTGGACACAGATGAGGAGGAAGCTTGAAGTGCATGAACTAATACTCCACTATCTAACCCTTAAGATCTTTGTATTCAGGTTTAGTCATTGCTGCTAAAGGTAAAAGCACAAGGGTGAATTTGGAGTGATAAGAAAAATCACTTCTTACCTTTATTTTCAGTTCTATCACAGACTAGATTTTAGTTGGGAAAAAACATTTCAATCTCAGACCTACAGTACTTTGGAAGGCCCCAAACCTATAAGGGCTTCTTGCCTCTCAAAGTAGCAAAACCAGGTTTGAAAGCTCTGCTTTAAAACAGAAAGCCTCCAAACAGTGTTTTTCTTATTACAGGTTTGGTCTTGGGCTGATCCTTTCTCAGTGGTGCCAGTTCCCGTAAGAACTAAGCTTTTAAATAAAAAAAAAGTTGAAAAAAAAGTAAACCATAAACAGAGAAAATGGTTCTACTTTCTGCTGAGAAAGGGAAGGGACAGGTTTCCAGCATCAGCCCAAGCTACCAAATGCTGCCTCTCTTTTAAACCTCTTTTACTTCAAGTCTTATTTGTGCCATTACAGACCTCAACAGAAACCCCTGTTATCACAAGCCCTTTTCAGAGCTGTAACACTGCCAGAAGCCTGCAAGCACCCTGCTACCGAATAACCCCAAGTGGTTCATGCAAAGAGCAGGAACAACCATACCTCTGAGCTTCACGATCATCCTTGGGGTTGTAGTTGGACAGACAGTCCAGGATGAAGATCTGGCCCCACTCCGTGCACTCATTTAAAGCTGTCAGCAGCTTGTTAATGTTCTGAGGATTCAAATCCAGCAGGTTGCTGTTGGGATGCGATTCACTGATTTCCGACAAGGCAGCCACAGCGTTTGCTACCACCTGGAAGAAGAGACAAGAAGATACATTCTTTGCTTGCATACCATCAGTGGCATGGCAGGGATTAACTTCGGTTTAACACAGGTTACTTATAGGAAACAAACACGGAGATCCTGGTGTGTGCTACCAGCTGCTCAGCAGCAGCCACCACGTCAGTCATCTGAGCCTTCAGGGACACAGTACAACCACACAACCAACCTGGAGAGCCCAAAGCTTGACTGTAACCTTGCTCTTTACCAAAATTTGAGGAGTCTCTTGGGGAGGAAGAGAAAGAATCGCCGCACAGCAGGAGGGGGCTGCTGACACACACACGAAACATGAAAAGCCAGCATGGGTGCAAAGAACATTTTACTAGAGAAATTATAACTTGAAAGTATTTTTGTTGAAGATAAACAAAAGTTAAAGTTGCCTCTGGACAGAATGGGGGGACCTGGGGCCAGGACCTCACAAAAGTCTTTACTCTGGAGGAAGCTAGAGATGGCATCAGAGAGCGCCCACATGGAACAAGAACATCTCACCTTCCTGTAGGCTCCCGGCTTCCACCTTGGCTTGCTTCAAGTATGCATCATCTCCCCCTCCTTCCAGGAGATGCTCAACTGACAGAATCAAGGTTTCAAAACCTCTAATTGCCCTGCTTATTTAGGAACGTATGCCTCTTGCCTAATTTGCCCTCAGCAGCCCTGTGGCACATGGCATAATGCAATCCAAGAAATGAGAGCTGTCTCCTCGGTAAGAGGAGATGTCAGGTGCCAGGCAACCTTCTGCTCTGCAGCAATTCTGTCAGGTCATCCAGTTTGAAAGCAAATACATAATTTCCCTAAAATGGACAACTCCTGCTAAATTTTTAATAACACATATTTCAATTCTAAATAGCCTCCATAGCATCCATTTGTCTGCTTTATGGAGTCCCCTCAAAGCAAGCACTCCAGCACAACTCATCACTGAAAATATTCTTGCTACATTTAAGACTATACAAGGTCTCTTATCCAAGCATGGATGAAAGGAAGCAGAGAGGCGGTCCAGGGCCCAGCTTGACAAGAACGAGAAATGGGAGCACAATATAAATTTCTAATTCTTAATTCCAGACTCAAGTTCAACAGTTATGCTAACAGACGCCATGTGAAGGTTCTTAAGAGAGAGGAGTTGCAGAATATATAGACAAAAATAGAAAATTTGCAGATGAGATAAAAGTCTTATTTTTTTAACTACCTAGAAAAGGGATTTAAGCCCGAGTTTGACACACAAAACTGACATATCCTATGAAAAAGCATCTTCAGGATATTTTACAATGTATTTCATGTCCAGCCCAACTCACAATTTATAGCTGCTAAAATGAAGATTTATAGCATTACTTTCTATGGGATTAAGGTAAAGAAACATCTAAAATCATCTGTTCTTTGGATGACTAAAGATGCTTTTGATGCAGTACACTGAAAACAAGAATAGTGAGACCAGAAAATTCTCTGCATTGTTCCCATCACTGCTTGTCATTAAACCAATATATTTCAAAGTCATTGCATAAGCACAGTAATGTTGATTGTTTTGCATTTCACACCTAGAGGTCAGAGATAGGATTTTGATCCAAGATTTTATGAATTTCATTAGTTGAATGAGCCTTCTGTCACCAAAATCATTAGCAATCAGAACTGATGTCTTCTTGTACTGTTTTAATGAGTAACTTATTAAGATATGCTGCTTATTCTTCCCATTATTTAATCTGCCTAATTCCTAAATGGTTAATGTGACACAGCATAAAACTGAAGTAAAATACACTTTTGATTTCATTGTATTTTGGAAGTTTACAAGTGAAGACAAATCATAAAAGCAATTGAAAAATTCGAAACCATTATGAAAAAGCACTTATAAAATGAAATGAGGACTTTGAAAAAAAAATAAATTTGAAGTAATAAAAAATGTGACAGAACCAAAGCATCACAGAAAGGTACCTGTCAGTTGTACTAAGGAATAGGGTTGAGCTTTGGCAAACGCACTCACGCTGCCAGCCAGGCACTACCTTCGTTGCAGTAATTGGGCCATGTGGATATCCTAAACCCTGGGGCAAGTACAAGTCAAAGCAGCTGCGCTTAAGTTTCTTTCCCTGCAGAGTAAGTGAAGTCTGTCACTTTGAGTTTGCCATGGGCAAAGGATGCACTGAAATGCTGTTACCATGGGCTGCCTGGTACTCAGTAGTTCCAACCCAGAGACCTGACTGTGAATGAGATCTTGCTTTTAGGATCTTTTGGGGTCCTTTTCAGGAACTAATATGGCAGTGTAAATGCAAGTGTCCAAATCAAAGCTGAGGATGGGAAATTACATGGCAACCTAGATTGCCATTAAAAGTATCCATGAGGAAAAGTGTCAGATGGCAAGACACACAAGGGCTGTGGTCTCCTTGGGTGTTACAAAAAAAAAAAAAAAA